TATGCAATGAATAACTAAATTCAGCTATCTCTACTCTCCAACTCTGAATTCTTTCTATTATCAAAACATGAATGCAACAGAACGTTGATCAGTTATTAGAATAAAGTGATTGTGCAACAGTAAGTGTCGCCACTTTCTAACAGCTTCAATGATAGCCGTAGCCTCTCTTTCCACAGAAGGGTAGTTTAATTCACTCTTATTTAGGCTGCATGACATGAAGGCAATGGGCTGAGCATTTGATTAAGAGTTGCAGACACAGCAACATCGGAGGCATTGTATTCTACCAAAAAAGGAATACTTTCATCAATAGAGTTAAGCATTGCAGAACATAATCCCTCTTTACTTATCAGATAAGATTTGGTACTGATCAATGGATAGATTTTATTAGAAAATACAGGAATCCATTTGGAATAATATGAAAACATATCCAATGTCTGCCCCAGCAAGACAAATCAGATGCAGGTGGCAACATCTGGAGTGGGTGTAGGCAGTCAGGATCTGGCCAAATAGTATTATGGCTTACATAATACCCGAGTATTTTAATAAACTTGGAGATATTACAGATTTCAATTCATTTAATGTAAGCCCCCATTTTTGTGCAGCTTGTTGGAATCTCTGACAATATTGATCATAGTTGGTGTTTTTGATCATAACCACCAATGGTGATGTCTACATAAGGATATGTATCTATAAGGTTCTCTTTTTCAACAAATTTGTCCATTGCTCTTTGAAACAGAGACCCCATTGGTTGCACCACAGGACAACCTAAAAAACTGGTATACTCAAAGGCAGGAAACTTTTTTATCTGCCTCAATTATTGGGATCTGATGGTAAACAGTAGAAAATACTTTGTACCTTGTCAGACAGTTTATCATATCATCAATCTGAGGCATAAGGTAGGCATCCAACTGTGTATATAGATTAACCATTTGGAAATAATCTACACAGAGCCATTTATTGTGCTTATTGATAAGGTCCTTGCAACAACCAACTGGGCCCTCCATAGTGAGTAGCAGGGGTCAATGATGTTATTTGAGAGTATTTGGGAAATTTTCTTCTCAATGAATGCCTTATCATCTCTACTAAAGCACCAAGATTTTGTAGCAACAGGGTGGGAATTCACAGGTATACTGGAAAATGATGAGGGTATATTTACTTTAGCTGCCGTAAGAACACAGTGTGCATTTCTTTGACAAACTCTTAAGTCATCTTTGTTCCCACCGTAAGTGAAGATCTGAGAATTACCACCGCACATAGTTTATCCAAAACCCTGAATTTTACTCTTCCATATTCCCTGATGCCTACTTCTATATCAGCAATGCAGACACCAATATAATTGGCTTCCATGGTTTTAAGAGCCATAGACACTTTTTTCTTACAGGGGTGGAGTTTCAGGTTTAATACATTGAATGCATCTTCACTAATAAAGTTTTATGAACTATAAGAGTCTATAAGAGCAGTAAACTGTCTGCCTTTTATGGTGATCATTGTAGTTGCATGAGAGAGATCTGGGGGATAGATATCCAGGATTACACACAAACTTGGTTTAAAATTAACCATCATGGCCGTTGTCTGAGGCTGACTTCAAACCTTCAAAAACTGTCTGTTTTTTCCACAATTAAAACATGTGGTGCTACAAGCAGAACAGACTCTCCGATTATGAGCTGCGTTACCACAAAATTGGCATTTTTCTGGTAAGGCACTTTTGGCAGGGCTAGAGCTGTGGGGTTCTCTTCTGAATATTCACACTTGGCGGCTTTTACATCTGAGATCAATGAAATGCTTGTAGGGAAGTAAAGTTGTGAATTTCTTTGGGCAAGATCAAGTGCACATGCTTGATTGAAGGTTGACTTTCCCAGAAACCACCGCTTAATATAACTGGATGAAATCCTACTTATAAAGGCATAACTGATTTGCTCTGTATTGTTCCACCGTGATTTTTTATAGTTGTAATCTTGTATTATCTATAAGTTCCAACTACAATAAATAATTATAGTTATGACAACTCATATCTTTTGTCTGTAAAATAAATGTAAATAAACTATAGGTTATTATAAGAGCCAACATGCTCAAAATATTGAAATCATTTGCATAAATTGTCACCTGTTTAAGTTAAATACAAGGAAACAGGTCATCAAACTTCTAAGCCCAAGGATAGTCACTTATTTTAAAAATAAAAAGGAAATAATCATATTGGTCTTCATACAATGACCCATTGAGTAATCTCTGTGCATACATGCACTCACATTGAGGAGAGAAAGTCACTATATATATTTATTCTGTTTATACATTTTTTTTATGAATACCCTTATTTGAGTAAATCCTCTATCTTTTAATTAAACAGTATTAATTATTACATTTACCACCCTGAATATTCAATAAATTTTGTAGAAAATATGCGTTCTCAAACAGGAATCGAACCTGTATCCTATATGGAACTGTCATTAAGCCTGACATACTATGTCCGTTCAGCCACAGAGAACTTTCGGTTAGCAAACCTTGAATTACTGTTTTTAAATATTTGTTGGATTTAATCCATTTCATATAGAATGCTGTCATTGTTTATGTTAGGCTACAAATTCAGAGCAGATATGATAGAATGAGAAAAATCGGAGAAAGTGCATGTTTAAAAGCAGTAATTCGAGTTTTGCTAATTGGAAGTTCTGTGGGTGAACAGTCATAGCATGTCAGACTTAACAACAGTTCTGTATAGAATATAGGTTTAATTCCTGTTGGAGAACATATTTTCTACAAAATTTCTTGAACATCCAGGCTGGTAAATATAATTAATACTGTTTAATTAAAAAACAGCATTTACTCAAATAAGTGTAACCATAAAAAAATGTATAAACAGAAAATATTTGTCAAATTTAATTCAGTACATATAACACATACACACAAGTATTTGATAGACTTGCATTCAGATTACTCTCTCACTCATTACTATATACCACAACATAAAAATATTTAAGACCTTAGAAGAATTGTCAATGCAGCCAAAAAGCACAGCTGTGCACAAATTTAGAAAACATGGAAAGTCTGCAAAGTCCATTTTAAAATTTAGCTATAAAAAATGGCTGGTTCTATGTAAAGTTTCACAGCAAATCTGACTAACCTATAAAATAACATCCTTCTTCACACACACACACACACACAGTAGGGGGGGTGAAACATTTTTCTACAATGAGCAAATAAGAAAAATGTTATCTTAGCAAACAAAAATGAAAAACAAATCAGTTTTCTTATCTGACAAAACAAGAAACTGTAGGATAAAAAGAAAAATCTTCAAGAAGAATGTTAGTAGGTCAGTAGCTATTCATGATTAAAGATTAAATTACTGAAAAGTATTTTTTTTTTCTATGTCATTGTGTCCTACAAATAAGAACAGGAAGAGCAAATTAAAAAGAATGGAATTTCGAAAACAAGTGAAAGAACATAGAAATAAAAACAAAATGGAAGCCATTTAATGATGACAAACATTTTTTAAAAATAAAATAAACAATATTTTATGTAAACAATTTTATCAGTAGGGCTCTTTAAATTTTTGATTTATAAAGATTTTTTGCCTGTTTGTTTCCCTAAGTAAATAGAACAAAGTACTGCAATCTCTAACGGAGAGCCAATCTCACATCCCAATTTTCATCCATTTCACTTGAACATCTATGACAAATAGCCGAAAGACAACTCAATGTTGCAGTTTTATTTAATGTCAACCAACAAACTTATAGCATTACATACAATTGGCAGCAGCATCTATTTGGAGGTTTCATATTTTACTATTAACACAATAAAAACACAGCTCTTCAAGTTATTTGGCATCATTTACAAATCTATACTGCACTGATTTAAGTGTTTAGAAGGAATTAAGAGGACAAAATAGAAAGGACTACAAAACAATCTGTTTAAATGTAGGATCTATTATCACCATTTAAGTTTTCTTTGTTGCTTAAAAAGAAAACAATAACTTGAAGGATGAAATAATTTTAATGATATTCTATTCTATTTATAAATTAATTTATATATTTATCCTAGACACTGGTACAGACTTTTCCTAGTTACACACACATTTAGGATCACCCTCTGTATTTAATAATTAGCAAGTTTCATGCCTTCTCTGGTTTAATTAAGTCCTAAGTTAGGATGCTGAAACTATTTAATCCAATTTTTATCCATGTTTATTTTAAGAGAGGGGCTTAGCTAAAATTTGAAATCCACCAACCCTAAGATTACCATGAGCCAGCAAGGTAAATTAGGCAAAAATTTTAAGGAAACTTTATGCAACAATGAGTTAATTTCATTATTATTATTGAATATATGATAAAACTGTTCAGAAAGAGAAAAGTCCTCTCCCCCAAAGTGAGCTAGTAAATTAGTTTTGAAAAAAAAAACCCCAATAAACACAACCTTTAATTTTTAAGTGATTATTTGTGGCCGCAAACATTTGGCTTATATAGAGTGTGTGTGTGCGTATATATATATATATATATATATATATATATGTTTCATTAAAGATGACAGACAAAGTACTACAATTAAGCTTTTTATTTAATTTTACTTGTATTTGAATAAATGTTTTCTTTTGTGGACACAGACTGTGTAGAAACTGTCCAAATGTTCTGTAATTCTGAACCCTTTCAGCTATACTTTTAGCCATTATCAAGGATAATTTTATTTTTGTTTTTTAATTGGCTGGTATAGTTTGTGTGTATGTTTCTAGAGTTATAACACAAGAAAAATAAAAAGCTTAATTGTAGTACCTTGTCTGTCATCTTTAATGAAACATGTGTAAATATAGGATTGCTGCCTATATATATATATATATATATATATATATATATATATATATATATATATATATATATAATTTTTTTTCCTTTACAGATACACTATCTGAAACTCAATAAAAGTTTAAATCAGTACAAGAATATTAGATAAATTTGGATTGCATGGTATTTCAATGCCTACTACTAAACAGTATTATCAATTTCTAATTAACTTACTGGAGGAGGACGGCGACCATGGCTGGTACGCAGCACAGCCTTCTGAAAATTAGGATCCTCTGCAAGGTCCTGCAAAGAAATAATTAGATATAGATAAAAACAAACATTAAAAACAAAATTTCTGCTCCTCATTTGAATTTAATTAAGGAATAATGCAATTAATTATATTTTTGTTTTTTGCCTTAGAATCAAAGAAAGCAAAGATAACTTTAAAACTAATTCTACTAAAGATATATGATTTTATTTTACTAAATGTTCACCCAATACAAGACCCAACAGCCATTCAAGATAGATGGTTACTGAATGAGGTTGTTGCATGGACATAAGAACAGGAAGTGCAGATTATGGGAATATGAAGGACAGATAGCAGTTGACCCTAGACCAGAAGAAGCTAAGATTGGAGTGATCAGGGAAGCATCCTCTCAGGAGTTTGTTCCCTGAAATAGTGTTTCTCAGGAAGAAACTTTGGTCTTACTAATGGAATATAAAGGGAATGCAGAGGATTCAACTTGGTATTATAAAAACTTCTTGGCTAAAAAGTTATCTGAAATGCTGGAATGTATCTGTATCATTTCAAATTATGAAGTTAAAGATTGAAGAGTTAAAAGCCATTGTCAAAATGCAAGATAATTTACTTGAACAGAATTAATAAAGTTTGCGATGAAAAGAAAAAAAGGTCAAAAAAGATGAAACAGCAACAATCATGCAAGCAAGCAATATAGTTAAAGTAAATCAAACAGGTAAGAAGGCAAAAGAATTCACAAACTATAAGTTGGCGTTCATACACAAAAGCAAGGTCAGACAAGAGAACGCAGTAGGTTTGTTTTGTAGTTAAGGCAGATCTGGACCAAGTCATGTCAAAATGCAGGTCATCCTATATTATTGGCTAAGAAAAATATCCCAGCATCCATTTTGTGTCATTCTGACTTTAAGAGGGGGAGAGGGAAAAACTTTGGCAATCATTTCCACATTTTTGGGAGTTTTGATTTCCTTTTTGGAAAGAATTTGTAAGCCTTGTTATTGTGAGTGTCATCTTTGTTTACCTTTGTTACTGTTGTTTTGTGTGTCCTACTTGTTTTGTTACACTCCAGTTTCTTGGGATTTGTTTTTGTGTGTTTTTGTGCTGTGATGAGGCTATGACCACAATGGCCAAGTCTTCCCAGTAAAATGAACCAATGGCCACCCAAGCATCCACACAGGCATGGGCAGCAGATAGGAAAAAAAAAATCAGATTATTACAGCAGCCTAAGAGGAGAATATCATGCCTTCATCTGGGGTAATGAATTGATTGCTGTACCTTAATGATGGAGGAAATCAAAACCAGGACCATTTCCTTTTTGATGGCAGATGTCAAAATGAGAAAATTCATTGCAGTCACTAGAGGGACTACAGAAGAGTCTCAAGGCTTTGAATATTGCTGCCAAACTGTTGGCAAGAAGGTCAAATGCCATATGGGATGTCCTACTGGCTAGAGAAGCATCTGCTAAGGCGTTAGCCAGTAACATCCTTACTACCAAGTCTCTTCACCTTCAAATTGAGTACATGGACACCTGGAAAACACTTTTCATGGGGTGCCCATTTACATCACTGGGGACTTCTTTTCAGACTACAGACCTGTGGAGAGCAGGTATCCTCCATTTTAAAAAATATAATGAGATGCAGGATGCTGACAACCAGGAATATTTTTGTGGTGGAAGAAATATAATCTCCAGATCTTGCGGAGATGCCATTTGACATGTGAACAGGAAGGAATTCAACACCACAGAAGGATTTTTGTGAGTGGAAGAGGTAGGAGGGAGCCATCTCCTCCACAGCAGGATGTCCAAAACAAACTTGCTGTGAAATCCACCCAGCGGTAGCAACAGAAGCAACCAAAGCAGCAACAACAGAGACCAAAAAACCAGCAGCAGCAACAACAGTAAAAACCAGAGTAACAACACAGGCAGTAGAAGCAAAAGCTAGAATAGCTGAGGCAGCAACAACACAAGCAGCAGCAGTCAGAGTAACAGCAGCAGGAAGGCAAGGAGCAGGAGATCCAGCAAAACAAGCAACCCGAGCAGGTGGAAGTAGACCTATCACAATTGGATTTATTTATGGAAGTAGAGGAAATGCCTCCACCTTGTTCCTCATCACTGAAAAGGAGAAGGAAAAAAAGAGGAGGAAGAGGATCTCATATACATGAAAAGGAGAAGTAGAGCTGGGCGGAGTAAGGCGGAGTAGGCCCTGGTATCTGCCAGAACCCAATACATGCCTGATTCACCAGCAAGAAGCGACCAAGAAACTGCTCATGGTAAAACCAGGCGCCTCCCTTCTTCCCTTCTAGAGCCCTACCTTCCCCTTCTCCCTCCCCCAACCCTTTCCAAGGAAGGAAAAAAAGACATTTCCCCAAAGGGAAAAGAATTTATGTTGTGGACTGTGAGTCCGCCGAGAGGGACCTTTTCTCTCAGAGGAAGGCCCTCTTGAGGCCTCTATTTAAATGCACCTCTGTTGACTCCATGTCAAAGAAACTTCCTTGATGAGCCCGCTGTAATTATTCTCATTAAGAACACCAGGTGCCAAAGATGCATTCCCCAAGCTCCAGATGGCTCAAATAGAGTCTCTGGAGCTAAAGAAATTAGCTCAATATTGCTCTGGGAGGGTCCCGGTTTTGCTTCACTCTTCCTTATATAGGGCACTTAAACTTACCTTTCTCACAGACATCAGCGGCATTGTCTCATAAGGATGAATTATGTCTAATATTGGCACTGGTAGTCTGGGACAATCTGTCTTGACCCCCACAGATTTCCATCCAGTCTGTGTTTAAGGGACTCTTGACTTTAAAAGATGTCTATCAAGCTAGCTAACTTGAATGTGAGGAGCTTGAGGGATTGGGATAAGACTGTCCACCTGCTTTGTGATCTCTTGTCCTTTGAGGTAGATGTGGCTGCAATCCAAGAGACACACTTTGTTTGCAATGTTGATGCTTGTGTGCTGTCTAGTGACTTATTGTCTATTCAGTATATAGAGACCAGCTGGCCAGTGGTGTTTCCATGTTAGTAAAATGTTCCCTGGGTGCGAGGATGGACCTTGTCCATGTCAACACAGGAGCCACTTGATTGTGGCAGTGGTTTGTTTCGTGTCGTGGTTTATGCACCCAACAACCAAGGGGACTGTGTTAACTTTTTCTGTCAGTTGGGGCTATTCCTGGTCCATTCATCATGTTTAGACTTAATGGAGGACTGGAATGCCATCCTATACCCCAAGATAGACAGGGGGCGGAGAGCTAGTGGGAGGTCATCAGGTGATCATAGCTTGGTTGATCTGATCGACAAGTTTGGGCTCATTGATGAAAAATATAATGTAGTTGAAATAAAATTTGTAAATGATTTTTTTTTTATGCAGTCCAGCCCTACACTGAAACACTATTTTCATGTCATGCCATAGCAACATTAAACTAGTACAGAAGGTGCTTGGGTAGTACAAAAAGGTGACAGGGACCAAAATTAAACACAACAAGTCATCCAGCTTATGGTCAGCTGTCTGGAAGAGGGTTGCACTTCCAAAGCCCTTTAGTTGGACAGACAGACCCATCTGCATTTTTGGAGTGTGATTCAGGCCCAATCTCCAGCTGAAGAAGAATTAGTCCAAATTACAGTCAAAGATTGAAGTGGCGGCTCAGATTTGGCTTTTTATACATAAAGGATAAGACAGAGGTGTGTGCCACTTAATTCTTTTCGATTATCCTTCATTGATTGGCTGTACTTCCTCTCTACAAGAACAGAAATAAGGCGCTCAATTGCTTGTTGGCTTCACTCATGGGGTGGTCGCAAGCATCTGGTCTATAGAGAGACTGTTGCTCAATATCTGTGTCATGGGCAGGGGGCTGGGAATGCTGCACTTGTTGTGCCATCAGCACACTTCAAGGTTGGTGTTCTTATGCTGTGCACTGACGGAAGATTTGATTTTGGAAGGGAGTGTTAGGGACAACTTCCCTAGCATTATTATCACTCTCTCCATTCCTGAGGTTGAGCACCATCGTAAGCCTCGAAATTAATCAAAACTCCTCTGAGAGTGTCAGACATCCTCAAGAGTTCTTCCTTGGTCCAGTGACCTTTGACATCCTCATAGGCTATTGTATTGTGATTTAGTGGAGAGGATCACACCAGGAGACCTTTGTGGGTGGATCAGCGTGTCGGCATCAGAGTTGCACTCTTTTAGGTCTTGAGTGCCAACGGCTGAATATCTCAGTAACCTTGAGTTTTCACTTTCCTGGTGAATGATTCATAATGTGCTACCTCTCAATGACGTAGCCTTCAGATGGGGCTGCGTGAATTTGTCAACTGTCATCAGTATGACCTTGGTTTAGAAGAAATGGCTTTGCATGGCTTCTACCATTGTCCTCAGGTGTGCCCTTTCTGGGACTATGTTAACAAGTTGATGGCTCGTATTGCTCCTGAGCAGCTTGCGACCATTGATCTCGCATACACCTGTGACAATGTCACCCCTGTTCTCCAGGATGTTCTCACGTTGCTAGCTGTGGCAAGAATGGTGGAATGGACATCACAAATGGAGGGAATCTTGCATTATGAACATTATTTTCATCAGGACCTGGTTAGATTCTTTGAGCATCAGCTGAAGATGAAGATCAGATCTGTACAACAGGGCGGTTTTCTGTGAACCCTACTCTGGTTAAGTTAGACTGTTTTTCGTTTACCTAGTTAATGTGAATAAGTGTTTTTCCCGGCATTCTCTTGTTATGATCCATATCAAGATTCCCAAACTCCCCAGTTTGTTTTTGTCCCCTTTTTTGATCTTGGCTGGGTCAGACTTTTGTTTTTCCCACCCTAATGTTTAATTTTTCCTTCCCACTCCATTAGTGAGTGAGCTCCTTGATTTTGTCTATAGGCAGAATACAGTGGCCATATTCATTATTTTGAGGGGTGGACAGGTCCTACTAACATCTGTTTTGTTTTTGTTTCATTCTTTAGTTTTTTTGGTGTGGTTCATTTCCTCCCTATCATTTCAGGCTTCATGAAAATTTTTATATATTTTTATAGGGAAAAAAAAAAAATGGTGATTCAAGTTAAAAA